TTCTTAACCCCTTAAATGACAGGGCCCACCAGCGGGCGCAGGGTTTTATTACACACTTCTATAACCTAAGAATAGCTCAGCCAGTTTGCACTGAAGCCCCTGTAGTTACTGAATAATAGTATGTAATAACCTGGGATTTTAAGGGGTTAACTTGAAATGAACTATATGTATGGATTATATGGAGGTAATTTTGGACCATTTTTATTTGTCCATTCATCATGAAATTTTTTACATGTAAACGGCAGCTGTTATTTTTAAAATATAAAAAGTATACAAAAATGGAGAGGTTTTCTTCTGGCAGTGATAATGCACGTATATGTATGTGTAATGTGGGGATGCAGCCCAGGACTGAATCAAACCTCTTTTAGTAAGAGAGTCAATTGGGCGAGCCACCTACTGAAAGTGGTGCAAAGGACAAAGGTGCAGAGCAAATTAAGACTCAAAGGGAGAACTACAGGAAGAATTTAAAAGAACTTGAAAGAAACTCAAGAAAGTGGCAGTACACAGACTAAACTTTGAAAACTGGAAAAGACACAAAAACATTGACGTGCCCCACTGGGGGCACAAAGTGGAGCCACAAGGCAGAGAGGCCTAGGAGTTCCCACTGAGCTACTGCTCACTCCCATGGAAAGGCCAGGGGTGAGAGGAACCCAAGAGCTCAGGAAAAAAATAAAATATATACATTTTTTTTATATCTATACTTACGCTAAGTGACTCAGGAGCAACTTACTCTTATTACTTATTACTTAGCTGAGTTGGTCGATACATGCACACAGCAAGTTAACTTAAGATAGAGCAGTGTCAGAGCTCCTCTTAAGTAGGCTGGTCCAGGTGATATTGGTTGGCCTGATTGCTAGGGATGAGCTCTGTGCCTCCCTTCAGTAGCCACAGCTGGTCTCGCAGACTGTTGCATTATGAGAACCAGTTCTATGAGAGCCTCGTCGAACTGACAGTCTGCTCTGACAGTTGACCTGAAGAAAGCACACTGGCGATGCAAGACAGCTTGGCCTGACTTGGCCATCGCTACAGTGTCCTTTACAGCAACACTCAAAATGCAGCTTGCACTGCGTTAGGTGTTGCATCGTGACACTTCTTCTGAACACAACAATACACAAAACAATACACAAAACTGCACACATACTTGCGTGTCATATGTTTCTGGCCTCTGCACAGCCTTGAGTGCCTTAATGTCTTATTATAGAAAGGAAGCTGCATTACCTCTTTCTTCTTCAGGACATGATGGAAACCTGCCTCAGCAGCGATCTTCTTTACAAAATCTTTAGTGAGCCCCGCTAATGGAAAGATGGTCTGTCGCAAGGCATCCTGGGAAATTTGACTAAGGAAGAATGTTTGGTCTTTAAGGCGATCAGCACCTTGGTACAGCCTCACAGCTGGAAATCAAAAGATCAGAATGATATAAAATGTGACACAATTAGGTATACTACAGCCATGCATGCTAAATAAAATTGTCCATAAAACAGAACTGAATGCAATCCGTTAATGCACAATTTATCACCCCTGCCCCCCAACCCCGTCCATCAACGAAAAGGGACCACCACAGGACCACTGCTGACCAGATATTATTTAGGTGGTGGAACATTCAGCATGGCAGTGACAACAGCATGGTAGAAGCATGAGGCAGAAGTCCGCTGATAAGTTGCGCAACTATGCACTTACATTGGTGTTTATGATAAAACGGCCAATGAGTATAGGTACAAGGTAAGTATACCTAGTAAATGGCACCTCAGTGTAGATGGAACAACCCAAAATACTATTTTTTGTATGTAGGAGCAAGAAGTAGTTGGACAGCAGTTTTCTAAGCAACAAGGCACATATTAATACCATGCCAAGAGTCAGGCCTGGCAGTAAGAGGGCTGAATGAACACTTACGATTTCTGATCTCCAAGCGATCTCTGAAAAGAGGCCGTGGTGCTGGTGTGTGTGTCTGCTGAAAAACCTCCTCGTCCTCCAGAGAAGTCCTTGCATAGTGACCAGTTGCCATGGCATCAGCACCTGAATATTGGATAGAGTAGATTTTTCAAGTGCAGTTTCTGAGCATGTCGGAAATAACATGCTCCAAAAAGTTGTAATAGTCTCAATACCATCAAAAATCTTATGCCATAACAACTACTTTTGTGTGTTGTATTTTTTATTTTTGTGAAAATGCATTGCTTGAAGAATGGTACTTCACAAAAGCCTCTTTTGTTTTACTTGTTTATTTGTTTTCAGGATTATGTATGCTATTTTTCATTGTTGTGCAAACAAACAAAGAAATAAATACAGATCAGAGCAGTTGTTACCTACCCTTTTTTCAGAGATGTACTGCCCTGTAGAGTTTAGCTGTAACCCACTTGGCAAATTTAATTATAACCTTTTTTCCCCCTCATAGATCCATTGCTTGAGAAAAAGTACTTTGTACAAGCCCCTTTCACTTTTCAACATTTCCTACATATTCTTCTATGTTTCCAAGATTTCTTGTTTTTCCTTACTGTGTGCACAAACCAACCAACCAACCAGCCAACTAACCAAACAAGCAATTAACAAATCATTCAACAACTTAACCAATCATTAAATCTATAAAAGGTTAAAGCAGTGGTCACCAGCCCTGCGCCTGGAAATTAAACTGTCCTGCAGAGTTTATCTCTAACTCAATCAACCCTTTGAAATGCTGGATCAGGTTAGAGGTTGGGTTAGAGGTAAGACCTTTAGGAAAGTAGATGATCAGGAGAAAAGCTAATGACCGCTGGATTAAAGTATGCATACTTACCTAAAGAACTGACTGCATACTGATAGAAGTGTTTGAATTTGATATGTTTGTTGCATATTATGTCAGGATTTGGAGTTCTGCCCTTCTGGTATTCCCTAAGAAGATTACTTCAAAAAGAAAGAAGATAAACACAAAAGTAGCATCCCAGACAGCAGTGTTTAGGCACATAAATGAACCCAGCAGCAGTCATTGGACTGTAAAGAAGAGTCTGATTCTGTAACATACCTAAATACTTCGTGCCAGTACTCTTTGACATAGGAGACCTGATGGAAGGGCATATCCAGCGCCCGGCACACTTTATAAGCATCATCACAGTCTCTTTCTGAAGTGCACACTCCTCTTTCATCCAAGGAATCCCAGTTCTTCATGAAAACCCCAGTGACATGGTAGCCTAAAGAAAAGAACAATCATGTCGCCTGGTTTAAAGGAATAACATTTTTCCTCGAAAACAAACAGATGAATTCACAATAATAATTATGAAAAATTGTCACTGTGCCCAGTGAGTCTGCAAAATGGTAGGTTTCAATATCTTCAAATAAGCGCTATGAAAGAATGTACAAATTTTGAGAAGTAATTTTTTGTAACTATTGGTGCTACACGCATGAATTTCTCAGGGATTATTCTTTGGTTAAAGGTGTGTTTAACTAGAGAGAAATGTATTTGAAACAAAAACACTTGCTGAGTATCCAGAATGCCAAATGTATGGCTTTTTCCTTGCATAACAGAGTTTTAAGATGCATTTCTTGATGCAGCAGTGGACTGTGTTGAGTGATAACGGTACTCCCGAGTGCTATATTTAACACAGTAGCATGATGTTTTCTCATGCAATGCCATCTGAAGGCTCGAAGAACATGCACATTCAACAATGGTGGAATCTTTTCACAATACTGTGTATGGTACAAAGTGGTGAGCCACAACACATCTTTGCTTGCGAAGACTGAGCTTTTGGTCTCCTTTTATACCAAATCGTGATACCCTCACCTGTTACCAATACCCCTGCTTAATGAGGAATATTTCAAAACGGTGTAACTTGGATATTCTATAAACTTTTCACTCTTATTTTGCCCCTGTCCCAATGTTTTTTGAGCGTGTTGCAGGCATTACATTCAAAACTGTTTATATTCACAAAATACAATCAAGCTGGTCAGCCAAAACATTAAAAGTCATTTCTTTGTACTTTTGTCGGTTGAATAAAGGTTCAAGAGAATTAACAAATCACTGATTCCTGTTTTTAGTCCATTATACATATCCCAGGTTTTCTGGAAATGGGGTAACTAACTGATGAGACCTGATCTCACATCAGTATTCTTGTTCTAAGATGTTTGATAAATATGGGCCTAGATCATTACAAGCTTGCTATATTTGTAGTAGTTGACGAGCAGTGAATGGAGCTGTAAGAGTCATAGAGTTTCAAATAGTATTTTTATTTTATTTTTTGCTTTTTTCCACTTCTATTGCCCAAAGAAGCCTATAGAAGGTAACTGTACTGGAATTAGCCTTTAAAGAGGTCAGTAGAGTAGTCTAACCTAAAACATAAAAGTACTACTTCTGTGAAATAATAACTCAACTAGAAGTAAACGTGCATTTCCAAGAACAAATTGAGTGGAAACACAAAAGTAGAAGCTAAAAAAAACTACTTCAGTAATGAGTAAATTATAGAACTGCAGAGGAACTTAGTACATCCAGCATTTTCAGCATAGTAACTGATGTAGGTACTCTTGCTCCAAAGTGAGAGGAGGGATCATTCACCAAGCAGTACAGATGCTGTCAACAACACAACAGTGAAAGTAAACGGTAAAAATGAGTAAGTTAACTGTTAATGCCTAAAATGGAACTGAGTAACAGGTACATTAATTTCCTCACAAATAGAAGTAAAGGTATTATCATTTAGACACCAATCCGTATAAATATTAGACTAGATGTTAGTAAATGTGACCAGTGACTCCCCACCTCGGTCACCATCCTGCACCATAAATAAGCACCTGAGATACTTTGGTTATCTTGACTTTCTCACCTCTTTTCTTGAGTAAAAGCGCAGCGACAGAGCTGTCCACTCCACCGGACATAGCACACACCACATGTCTCACTACACCCATGATTTTCACTCAGACTCTTTACAAGCATTACATTAATCATGTTTATCATTCCCAAAGCTGTCATGCTCGCCCACAGGGCATCTCCATGTTCGCGGTCCGTCTCGAAACACTATCCGACAGGAAACCGATCTAGAAATAGTTCCGAGTAGCTTTTCCCACGACTCAATATCACACCGCAGCGCTACGCCGAGCAAGTTTGGTTCAAAGTTTAAAATATGCGCGCTTAATATCCTGAAATACATTACGGTAAGTTTTGTTTTGCATGGCATGATGTTTTAACAAACGGTTGTTGTTTGAATAGACTTAGACCGAAGTGACTAACATACATTCATGCTGGATTGTATGAACTGCATTCACTGGCTGCGTCCAAAACCGCGTACTTACTCAGTAAGTAGCATGTCAAAAATAGTACACCATCAGTAGAAGTCCATTCAGTAGTGTAGTATGTGTAGTATAGCAGTACGTGGTTTTGAACGCAGTTATTGTGTCATCTCTACCATTCACCTTTCAAAATCTGCAGAAATATAGAGCTGAGTGAGTTTAGTATTTGGCCTGGACACACGTAACACCAAGACAGCAATGTAATAAAGCGTTGGGATTAAGTTTGCACTTGGTACTACTGGTATTAAATTAGACTGCATGGTTTTTAACTTGTCAAAAATACTTTAAGCAAGTGATCTACTTCATCAGTATACAATAGTCAAATAGACAGACGACTAGATTTAACATATGGTGCATAACAGGTATACTGTTATTGAAATGCAGCAGGCCTCAAACTCACAGCTCTAGCTATGGAGGACCTGACAGCAGACAGCATTACTCTCCGGATGCTTCAAGAAGCTCGGGACACAGTCACTTCCAGCCCTTTGGGAGTGATCAGCACCCCCATGATCCCCTGGTGCCAGACCACGCTGCCATCCCACTTGTCCTGTAACATTCATCTAAAGCTGGAGAACATGCAGAGGACTGGTTGGTTTATTTGAATGTACATGTTTACACAATTTTTACAGAGCAGATCACTGAAGAGACGCCATCTGTTTATAGTTTATAGCCCAGATTTGTGGAAAAATGGGTCGACTTTCAGTAGAAAAAAAAAAATTGTGAGTTCAGCTTCTTCTATTATAAGGGTTTAAAATTACATTACCCATCTATTTGACTGGAAAGAAGACAGTTACAGCTCTTATATGACACCCACATTTTGAAGGAGTTGAAGAGGTTAATAATTTAGTTTATTCCTTTAATGAGTCAAGGGATTCATGGGATATGACAAACCTGAATAGTTTTGGTCAAAATAAGTGAGCCAATGTTTAACCTTGTTGTATCTGAGTGTTCTTAATATACTGTAGGATCTGTTCACTTACCAATATTGTGTAGCTGCTGTTTGATCCTATTTTATGATATAAAGCCACTGAGTCATATGATTGAGGCCAAATTCCTCTACCAAGACTGTATTTGCAACATGTACACGATTTGGACAAAGCATAAGCAAATTGACAAAACATAATTTAAATGCAGCATTATTGTTATTCTTTTTCATGTTATCTGTTTTTTTCCACTTTTTCACCAACAGGGTCATTTAAAATCAGGGGTGTTGCAAATCAGTTTGCTAAGCAATCCAAAGGTGGTCATTTTGTCACAATGTCTGCTGGGAATTATGGGAAGTCCTTTGCATATGCCTCTAAACACTACAGGACAAAAGGCAAAGTTGTGATGCCTGAAACAGCCCCCATGTCCAGATCTCTTCTAATACAAGTAAGACCTTGTAACGCCTCCAGGAATCAAATTCTTTTATAATGCTTGCAGTGCAACTTACTCAAAACTCATTTGAATTCATGGTATACCAACAGCGTTTTGGCATTGAGGTTGAGCGAGTGCCAACACCGTGTCTTATGGATGTAGTTAATCGATGCGTTCAAGAGGACAACATGACTTTTTTGCATTCCTACAATGACCCAGATCTCATAGCAGGACACGCCAGGTACATAATGACTCATTATTATCATCTTAATATAAAATATTGATCACCAAGATTTGCAAAATCAAACACAAAAGTTAGAAAATCCAGATTAAACTCGATACCGAGCTGAAGAGATTGAATCAGATGTGTCTGATCTAGACAATCTTATGGTATTCAAAAGTAGAGTACTGTTCAAATCCTTAATCATATATATATATATATATATATATATATATATATATATATATATATATATATATATATACAATAATAACTCATGCACTCACTGAAACAATGTAAACTAGACACCAAAATGGATTTTTTAAAATGTATTTTTAGATGTTTTGTTAAATATTTCAAGTATTTTAGGAACAGAACTTTTAGATGACGTGTAATATACAGTAATTGTTTTTGTTTGTCTTGAGAACTGGTGACTCTTGAAATATGAGGCATTCTGGATGTTAATTTTATTATAACATTTTCAATGACATTGTAAATCTTTCTCAGCCATTTCAGAAGCTCTGTTTACAGCTCTGTTCATCATTCCAAACATATCTAAAAAGTCTAAAATTGTTACAGCTTCCAAGCTTCATAGCTTCCTACTGATTAACTGAAAATGACTGTGTGGAACACGTTAGAACCATTTTATACATGTATATTAAGCGAAATGCTTTAATAATACTGAAGACATTAGTTCTAAACTTTTGTACCAGTACTAGTAAACTGGCTATTGCAACACCAAAACATATTAGCCTATAACACCAAGTCATCCACCCGATACCCAGTATCTGTACTGGGCTGATATCAGCAGAAAATGTTGGATTCAATACCGGACAAAAAAAAATAAAAAATCTGATCCAATCATGTACCAAACCTAGACTTTTCAACTGAATAAAAAATACTAAGAAATAAATCTGTGCTCATGTTGTTTGCTGTGTTTCTTCCTGTGGAGTAATAGAGTGTTTGAGTAGTTAAGCATCATAATCTACTTTTAGATGTACATCAAGTGAAGTGCTTCAATTAAAAATAGCTTATTTTGAAGCTTAGTAGTTTTAAAGAGGAGATATCATGTCAAATATCATATCAGTATTGACAGATCAGCATCGGTATCGTTATCAGAAAAAGTGGGGTGCCATCTCTAATTGCATGTCCTTCACGTGTATGGTACTGTAGTCTTGGCTTTGAGATCCTGGAGGTGGTCCCTAATCCAGATGTTGTGGTAGTGTGCTGTGGTGGAGGGGGCTTACTTGCTGGAGTGGCAGCTGCCATTAAACTGTCTGGATGTGAAGGGACAAGAATCTATGGAGTGGAGCCAGAAGGAGGTGAAGACTTAATGACAGCGCTCATGAAATATAATGTGAATCAACAAATATCATAGATAAAAATGATTATATAGCATAAGTTGATTGAATTGGATACATGGATGGATAATTTTATTACTCAGATTGATTTACTCATGGAGCAAGAGTGGCATTAGTCCTTATTCATTGATTAACCCTTTCACACTTGACAGCATGCACCATGTACAAAAGCTTCATTGAGAAGAAGCCTGTCAGCATGGACAGCAAAAGCATTGCCTCGGGTCTTGCGCCACCGTTTGCAGGTAAAAATTTCTTCGTCTCAAGTCATGAATGCTTTTAGGTTTCTGTTCAATATTGTGTGAGTTCGCTGAAGAAATGTAAGCTGTTTTAGATGAAATAGCAATATTTTACACCATTTTCCCATTTCTCCAAATATAGGCATATACAACCACTCCTGGTAAAATCAGTGTTTTGATGTTAACACATCCTCTGCAGTGAAAGTAAATATGGCATTTTCTGCAGATTTTAGTGCACAGTTTCTATTTATTTTGCTGCGTTTAACATTTTTATACAAAAGTATAAACATAAAATATGAAATATGCCATAACTTTCACACAGGCCACATTTTATGTTTAATTTTTTTCCATTTCCGTTTTAGCATTGCTGCGTACTATTGTCCATTTCTATACATAACAGTACATCATATAGGGTCAGAAAGCACATAAGCAAGACTTTTTGAGATTCCTTAACAACTTGATCACAGTTTAAGGCAAGTGTTTGATGATTTAGGGATGCAGTTTGCATAATGCTAAACCGGTGACTATATACTTACATTACTCGTCAGCAACATTAGCCCTGTAGCTCCAGTGCAAAACTATAGAAGCAGACTTCAAACAGCAAACATCTGTTGGCTAATCAATTACATTTGAGATGAGGGAGGAAAATGTGTAAATTAGATTTTTAACCAAACCATCACTTTAATCAATGTGCAAATAACATTTGTGTTGTCACTGTCAGTACCCCTCTGACATGCTGTCTGTTTTCTGTGCGACGTCTCTCAGGTGCTCTGCCATATGCCTTGTGTCAAAAGTATGTGGAGAAGATAGTGTTGGTGAGTGATGAAGAAATCAAGTCTGCTGTGTCCACTCTCTATAGAGCCGGCCTGGTTGTAGAGCCCTCAGGATCTGCTGCTTTTGCTGCCATTGTTAATGACAGAATACCTGACATTACTGGCAAAAACGTTGTGGTCGTCCTGAGTGGAGGGAACATTGGAAAAGATGAGCTTACCAACTTCCCTGATTGAGTTATAGAGTAATTTAGATTAAGCTTTTGTAATAGCAATTCAACTACAACGAGTTTTAGACTTAATTACAGTGGATTACAATTATATTGAGCTCTGTGATCAGTTTTTGGCCAAAATAAAATTCTCAGGCTATTTTCAAATGTAAACTTCTACAATAAAATAGTATATTGTTTTCATCATCTGTATTACTTGACTGTGTCAATATTCCCTCCAGTCATATTGTACACATTATACCAATATAATTTAATGGAATCATGAAAATATGAAATCTCATGATGCATTGAATCACCTAAAGATCAGTGATTTGGGATCAGTTTACAGCTCTACTGTTTTACTCTCTTTTTCTGTGAATAGAACTTGATGTATTTATGAATTTAAGTATAAATTTATGGTATAAAAACCAACTTATATGACCAGTAGAACTAAATCAATGTCTAACTGTTGTGTTTCTAAAATGTTCTGATGTGGAAAACACTAAAGTCAAATAAATGAAATTAATAAAGATGTACAGTGCAGTGGTTGTTTATTAACAGTTATTAACTTTCCCAGTTTATGATTATTTATAACTGGAGTTTACGCCATCTGCATTCTCCAAGAGATAAAACGCTCCCTCACTTCATGCAGTCATGCACAGATCACATATATAACTGTATATATATTAAGTTATTTAAAATCTAATTACTACATATTCATGTGAAAAGTACATTTTAATTAACATTTTTTAAAATTGTGTATTCCAGTTGGATTGCTTCTCTGCCATAGCCTTAATTTTAAGTTATATTTCTGGGTAACTTCTGTTTTGTAAACCTTAACATGAATTAATGTCAGGGCATTCCTTGTTTCCCATTTATTTACTGTTTGCATGGCCACACAGATAGAGGATGTTTGCGGGAAATGACCATCACACTGATAAACTACCAAGACTGACAAAAACATTACTAAAAACCTTCATGGTGAGAGATTAAAAAAACAGGCTGCTTACTTTGAAAAAAAGTGCCGTATTAAAAAAACAACAAAAAAAAAAATACATTTTTTCTAACCTCTCTTTGTCCCATAGAATTAAACAGTATGTTTATGTTACTGTCCCTTTAAGACTGATCTATGCGAATAACCTCTGTTCTGATTGGCTGCCCTGAATTGCACCTTGATCAAAAAAAGCAGTCTGGGTTAAAGCACTCCTTTTAACCCCAACTGAATGGGACTAAACAGCTGCAGGCAAAACAGGCAGACATGTAAATGCGTTCATGGTAGTGACATCACAAAAAGAGCAACTGTTTTTGCAGATCAGTTTGCATAATGTGGACTGAATCAGGAGTAAATTTGTGAATGTTCTGAAGCTTTACCAGTGTTTACATCATGCATCTCTTATTTTACAAAAGCCGGGGAAATTCAGTTTGTATGATTTGGGCTCTTCAGCGGTTTCAGGACAGCACAGATATATTTTGGGACATGGCTTTCCTCAGATGTTCCTCATACCCTTCACACTTTCTGACTTTTGTGTGGGAGCTGGCTGTGAAGATCTACAGATGCAACCATCACGTCAGCAGGATATCTACATCTCCTCTCATTATGAATGAATGGACCTAATGAGGGCTGTGTAACAGAGAATGCTTAAAAAGGTACATGTCATAACTGTGTCTGAAACATAAACTTTGTCTACTCATACAGAATACTGAGGCCGGAAGGCAGCCAGTCATGTCCGAATTGAATATTTGTGTAAACAGCTGCTGCTGAGGCTCCTTCAATCAGCCATTTTTAGAAGGCACTGTAAATGTATCCTTCGACGCCTTCAATGTCCCATAATCCTTTGTGTCAGCACCAATGTGCTCAAGTAAAAATAGCTTTAAACATCAGTACAGTGGAGGAAACAGACTGGTTTGTGTACAAATATAATACTTTTTATTTTGGCTATAAAAAGTTCAGTGTGCTAGCCTCCTTAAAACACTTTTTTTCTGGGTAAAAGATGCTAATGCTACAGCTAGCAGTGAGATGTTGTGTCATAGCAATGACATGAGATATCCCTGCCTTCGAAAGTGCATCTCAAACACGAGTCAGTTGCAGGTACCTTCATCGCAATGCTGCCTTCTGAGGCCCTGACTTATGAAACAGCAATGACAGCTGCCTTCTGTCTTTCTTTCTTTTTTTTCCCCAGTTGGCCATGGCAGTACCACTGGGGGGCCAATGGCTGTAAGTTTTTATTTTTTTTTAATGCAAAAATGTATAGAACATTTATACTGAGCGCATTGATTGGTCTGGCAAAATGTTATCTAGTTAAATTTATATTTTAAACACATTAACGTAAAATGCTTCCGTTTTCAATTGTATGGAATTCATCCATCATCGATTATGATTAAAAGCTGGGCCATCTCCAAGCAAAGCAGCCACCGTATCTCAAACTGAGAAAACTGAGACAACCAAGCATAAACTAAAATGAAGAAAATGCAGCAGTGAGTAACAAGCACTATGCTTAAGAACTAAAAATAAGCAACTACCGCTGTGTGTTGTATGAGGTATGGTCAGATGAGGTATGGTCAGCTTTGAAGCCAAAGGATTTATGCTGTCACTTGGAGACTAAACACAGCAAGTGTGCATCTAAACCAAAGTGAATTGAGACAAAACTCCATTTACAACTCTCTTCCATTCTAACAAATATTCAGCACTTGGTAGCTGCCATATATCAGCTCTCCCCTTAGATGAGACAGGGAAAAAAAATTAGATCAGTTAAATCTTTCTGTGGGCTGTGAATTGCAAAAAAAAAATTACAATTAACTTCACTCTGATCAGATTTATTAAAAAACAATTTGGCAAATGTTTAAACACAAACATAAATAAACAGTTTTTTGTATAAGTAAAATTAAGCTCTAAACTTACAAATAAAGGTGTCAAAAATGACCGTTTGCAGCGATGCCATAGAGGAATCATTTTTGGCTCCATAAAGATAACCAAAATGTGGCACCGCTCCAGAGAACTCCTTCTGGGCACCTTTATTTTTAAAAGTGTTATGTCCTGTAGGTGCTAGCTAAGCTATACAACGTCCTTAGCGGCCATTCTGCAGACAACAGCGTCCAAAACACTTCCACACTTCTCCTCTTGAGGTGTGACTTTGTAAAGCTGAAATGACAAAAACAAAGGACTCACAATCAGATAACAACAACAACAACAACAGCAACAACAGTAACAACAATAATTTCAGATTTATTTATAAAGCACTTTTCAAATTTCAAATTTAATCAAAAGCTAAATTACAGAGATACATTTTGAAATGTTTCTTAAAATAGTGTACCGAGCTTGACTGCTTAATAAAAGAGGAATTGAGTTCCACAGTTTAGAAGCATAATAACAGAAAGAGGCCTCTCCTTTTTTCGTGTGTTTGCAGAAGGCCAGTATCTGCAGATCTAATATCACATGTTGAAGCATAAGTAGACAGACGTTCTGAGGTATGCAGGTACTTTAAGACTATTTAGAGCCTTAAAAACTAGTAGAACTTATCTCTATCATAAAAGGATACAGGTAGCTCTTTCAAAATATATGAGCTCTCTCTCTTTTGCATTACAGTAAACAACTCTGCACAAACAAGTTTCTCTGCATCGACCTGAGACAGAAAATGCCAAAGTATAGTAATATTTCTTAAATGATAATCTACTTTAGTGACTGCATTTACATGTGGGATAAAACAAAGCTCTACGGTTATACCTACATTTTGTACTTCAGGTGTGGTATACGAAGCTAAAGATCCTAGTTTCTAACAAAGCAACTTTCTACCATTTAGTATTTCAATTTTTTCTTGATTTAGTTGTAGAACATTTTGTGACATTCACTGAGAAATATCTACTACATTTGTGAACATGACTAGCATTATATGAAGGTAGGGATGGGAAATATGACAATACCTTATTGTTATCCTGATAAATTACATTACAGTATGCTTTTCTGTGAATACAGTTGTTTGGTCAAATTACAAACCCAATTCCGAAAAAGTTGAGACAGTATGTAAAATCCTAATTAAAACAGAAAGCAGTGATTAGTAAATTGTGTTTGATCTGTATTAAAATGCAAAATGGGGCAAAAAACACAATATTTGATGTTTTACCTTAAAATTGTGTTTTTTGTACAACCAATTCCAAAATAATTCATACTTTTTAATATTTTAAATGGTCTTTGTGTCTGTGCACACTGATCACATTTATCAAACCTCAGAAATATTGCGATATGTATTGTGTATAGTGAAGTACTGCAAGGTTAAATTTGTCATATTGCCCACCTCTACTGATGTCTATATAAATATACAAATTTATAGAACATAAAATAGAAATTGCATCTAAAATAAATCTGGATTAGCATGATCGAAAAATGTAACATACGCTCATAGAGGGTTTGGAACGCAGTACAATTAAATTAGCATTACTGGTCAAATAAAAGCACCTGTCCGATGCTAAGCATTTTTTTAACAATCAACACTTACCATTATGATTGCTTTATGATTATGATTGCATTACCTAGTTATTTTATTAATTCTTTGAATTTTCCTAGTAATTTTTTTTTTTTTTTGGCTTAACATCAGAATTTCATGATGCATACCTTCAAGTCATGATATTATATTGTTTTCCGTGAAAGACTATATCAGTGAACAAACCTTTTTTATCTTGGCAATGTCACACAGGGTGGACATCTGATCAGCTGGTATCTGCTGGCCGTCCACCTTAGACACAATGTCATCCTTGTTGAGATTGTCCTCTCTGTTATGAACCAGGATGACGAGGACTGCATCATCACCGTCTGAGATTCCAAACCGTTTAAAAGCCTCAGAGATCTGTGAGGCATAAAACATTTACAGCATAATAATTACACCACACACTAAAACTTCACCGCCACAATAAACTCAAACATATTTCTGAGATATTCTCGCCAATAATGAGCGGTACATATTTTATAACAGAAACTACTTACATTGTTGGTGGGTGAAAGACTGAAGATGATTTCTGAGTATAAGCTCCTCGTCTTCATTTTTCCTATCTTTTGCAAATGAACTGCTTTATTTGCTGCGACTAGAGCCTGGAAGGGATCCAATACCTTGAGAGGGAGAGAGGGAGGGAGGGAGGGAGGGAGGGAGGGAGAGAGAGAGAGAGAGAGAGAGAGAGAAGGAGGGAAAAAAAAGAAAAGTAAGAGCAAAAGAGAAAAAGACAGAGAAAGAGGGAAGGACACAAAGAGAGGGAGATAAACGGAGTGTGATGGAGATAAAAAGGAAGGGAGAGAGAGGCAAAAAAGGAAAAGAAGAGAGAGAGAGAGATGCAAAACAGACCTGAAATGTGTTGAAAGTGAAGTGACTTCTGTAAGGTTTACATTTTGGTTTACAGTTTGGTTTCACACATTAACTGCAATATACACCCCAAACGTAATAGTGACTGAAAGCAGTCTAATAGTGACTTTAACAGTGAGCTGGAAGTTGTTCAACAGTGACTATAATAGTGACTGAAGAAATGAACCAGCGACTGTAACAGCGAGTGAATCTTTACCATGCTCGGGTTAATCAGCGCGCCGGCTATTTGACCCTCCACTGCCATCTTTCTCAGCTCTGCACAGTTTTTGACATCTCTGAAGAGCAGCTGAGTTACTGAGTGTTCTGGAAAAAGCTCCAGATCCTGAGTTAAATGCATCCTGAGTGTTTAGCGCGAGCTCACCTAGCTAACTAACTCCAGCTAACTTCACGAGTACATTGGATCGGGACAATAATATTGTGACACCGTCGTTTTGCTAACGTTCCGTGTGTGGCTTTACGTAGTTTAAGCATTTGACTGACGTTAAATGGCGTATTAATTAATATGCAGATAATGTAATGTCAGCCATATTCTTCTTATTTTATTTATATTTAAATACACATACACATACGACGATCAACTGTAAATTTCAGACGGAACGTCTTAGCGTACACTCAAGTTTCCGCCCCGAAAGTTGTAATGGTCGCTCTGCTCACTGCTAGCCTGCTGCAGTATGCAGACAGATAAAACGCAGCGTTTTACACCGAAACGTGAGTTTAGGAAGGTCAGGTTTGAGTCAGAGTGTTAGTAGACCACCTTGTGAGGCGGAGGCGTCGTTTGTTGTAAAGTCTAGAGCGGTCTGGACCGAGCGAAGCGATGCTGGATCGTTTTGAGTGCTACGCCTTCACGGCGCTGTGCAGCGTCAATTTCTTCGTATCGTGTTTGCTGTTCTCGGCTGTGAGTCGGGAGCAGAGGGAGCCCTACATGGACGAGATCTTCCACATCCCACAGGCGCAGAAATATTGCCAGGGCAAATTTAACGAGGTACGTATGTGCATTAGGACAGGGTTTCTCAACACTGGTCCTAGAGGCCCACTTTCCTGCAGATTAGGTGTTTTTTCCTGCTTTAACTGAGCTTCCAGGACCATGGTTGAGAAATAGTGGACTAGGGGTTGGGCGGATTGATACTGGAGTATCGATATTTCCATCCCCGGTTTTTCTTCTTGAACGATAATCTTTAGATGAAGACAACGATATTAAAGGGTAATTTTGCCGATTTTTCAAAATTTCTGCATAATTACATGGTTAACGTCATCAGAGTCATTTAGAGTGGTTTGGTGTGAAATGCTTAGTTTGAGAGAAAATTGCCAAATCAGCTGAATCAGAAATGCTCACAGTGATGGTGGTGAGGGGAACCAGACGTCTGAGGGAGTTTAATGCCTCTAAAACCTCCCTCACAGAAAGTTACATGAAATAGTTATGAATACATTGCCTGATGTCTGAGACACTGTTTACAGTAGTTTTGTGATAAAGTTTTTGGTTTAAAACATATTTTAATCAGTTTATTTTAATCCATTCATGGTGGAAGGATACAAGAAGGGTGATCTAAGGCAAAACAGTCCTCAAAGACAACTTATTTTTTCAGATTGACCATTTTTTCCACCATTATTAACACTACATATGAAAAAGTCAGAAGACGTGTGGGTTTTGGATAGTAAATAAACTGGCTATATTGGCGTTGTAGACATTGGGACCCCTGGTTCCTATCACCACCACTGTAAAAGAAATCTGAGTTAGTAAGTTTCTGTACAAATAAACAAATTCACATCATCCCACTCTGATTCACTGTTTACATCTCAACCACTGACTTACGCAGTGGTAAAAATCAGTGGAATTCCCCTTGAAGGTTTTTATTTGATTAGTGCACTGAATATCTGTTGTTTTATGAACGTGTCTTTGGTGCTGAAAAGCAGTTATATAACATACATGATAGGAGCTACTTCTGCTCTCTCCCTTTGCTCCAGTCACACACACACAATTGAAAAGTATAAATCATTTTTTTAATGTATTCATCTATTTTGAACATTCTTTCTTTTGTATTTCAGTACTGTATTAATTTTTAAATACACCCTTACAATTAAGGCTTGTCAAAATAAGCGTACAGCTTTACTATGGATAGTTCTGCACAGTAAGTGGGACATCAGGATAAGGGGCACCCTCGAGCTAAGTGATACTAAGCTTTGCTGCCTTTGTCAGCCAATGATGACAAACATCATTTCAATGTTCTTGTATGTGTGATGTGTATGAATAAGTGTTACTTAAGTGTGAATGTTTTTGGTGTGACATTAAAGCAAATCAAGTTAAAATGTATATTATTTTCTTTTCTTAGTGGGATCCTATGATCACAACTCTGCCTGGTTTGTACCTGGTCTCTGTGGGAGTGATTAAACCGGTAGTGTGGCTGGCCGACTACTCCGGGACAATACTGTGCTCCACTGCTATGCTGCGCTTTATCAACCTCCTTTTCAACTGCGGCAACCTCTACATTCTCTATCTCATTATCTGCAGGCTGCACCTTAAAGACAAGGTGATAATTAAGTGCTCATATTTTTCTTTTTGAATTTACTCAGTAATGTTTCATAATACCATGTAGAACGTAGGTTATTTTATAAATAAAGAAAAGCCAGTAGAGATGCACCGAAATGAACGTTCTTGCTCAAAACCGAAATTCTGGACACACCCGGCCCAAAAAAACAAAGATGAAACAAAAACAGCTTACCCAGAAAAAAAAAACAAAAAACCTTACTCTAATGATTACGGTATGTGCTGCGAACATCTAACATCGTCGACAACAGGGAATGGTTGGTGCTATGCTGTACTTTGCATATTAAGCAGGATGTCACGTTTTCAAGTGATATCAAACCTGCCATGGAAAAAACCTTGGGTGTTGTTGGGATCTAATCCCAAGAATCTGTAAAACGTGTCTGCACTGACCGGTTCAGGCACATGAAAGGAACAAGCACCGCTTTTAATCTCTTACCTCTCATTTTCATTACCATTAAATAATTAGTAAATAAGATTTTTACACTTTGTAGGTCTGTGTAATCTTTGGGTTTTTTCTGTGACTAAATTTTCAGCCATGCCAAAGAACATTTTTTAATGTCAGTTGTGCTTCAGACCCCTTCCCCAAGCAGGTGAATCTGAGGATTACAGGTGTGTTCACAGAGTATTCAAAGAGCTTAATGTTGATTTTGTGTTTGAGACCTAAACATCGAGCAGGAACTAAAGCTTGTACGTGACCTTAATATGGAAAGACGTATGATGTGGCCTGAAAAACTTGCGAAATCCGGTGTGACACGCCTGACTTTTAAATAATTGTTCCCGGCTATACAGAGCGACTCACAACAGTGCATGTACACCATATTTTAGCGTATTTATTTCTACTGATTCAGTAATGCTGCTTCTTTTAATTTTAACAAAAAACTACATAGTGCAGCTTTATATGTAGACAAAAAAATAAGTGAATAATTAAAGTAAATTTTGCTTTATACTTAAAGGTATTGTGGATACTGAGCCCAAAATTGGTAAACCACAAACAGCCCAGCCCCCTATACTAACAGTTAAAATAATTCTTATAATCTCAACAAAAAGTGTAACACAAATTTCAAACATTTTTACATTGCTGTCCCACATTATTACTTTGCAAATGGGAACAGGCTTCCATTTATATCATTATAGTAAATTAACAGTAACAGTTATCAGTATAAATTTGAGTTCATTCTGCTCTTGCCTTATTTGTTCTCACCTCAGGCTCTTCCTCTCTCTTTTCTAGTCTCGCACAGCTGGGCGAAGAGTTCTCTCTGCCCTGACCCTGTCTACCTTTCCAGTGTTGTACTTCTTCACGTTCCTCTACTACACAGATGCCGGCTCCACCTTCTTCACCCTCTTCACCTACCTCATGTGTCTCTATGGGAGCCACAAAGCGGCAGCTCTTCTGGGCATCTGTGCCATCCTCTTTCGCCAGACCAACATCATCTGGGTGGCATTCTGTGCTGGCAGCATCGTAGCTCAGAAACTCGACGAGGCTTGGAGGTTGGAGCAGTCGAAGAAGAGGGACGAGAAAACACCTTCACAGATACCGTTGGCGATTAGTGGGGTGAAAAGGGTAGCACGTTTTTTAGTGGAATATCTCACAACTCCAACCAACATAAAGACAGTGATTTTATCTACGTGGCCATATGGCATAGTCGGGTTTGGCTTCATCACATTTGTGGTTTTGAACAATGGCATTGTGGTCGGAGACAGGACTAGTCATGAGGCTTGTTTGAACTTCCCTCAGCTTTTTTATTTCTTCTCCTTTACATTGGTCTTCTCCCTTCCTCTCTCACTTTGCTACCACAGGCTTGTCAGGTTCATGCAATCTCTAAAAAAGCACCCTTTATTGTTTCTTCTCATGGCTGCTGTGTCTTTGCTACTAGTCTGGAAGTTTACTTTTGTCCACAAGTACTTGCTGGCAGATAACAGGCATTTTCCTTTTTATGTATGGAAAAGGATCTTCCAGAAACACCATCTGGTTCGCTTCCTTCTAGTTCCTGGCTATTTGTTTGCAGCATGGAACTTTCTAGACACACTGAGGTCCAAGTCGTTGTTTTGGATCTTGGCTTTTTTCGTGTGTCTAGTGGCAGCTACGGTTCCTCAGAAACTTCTAGAATTCCGCTATTTTATTCTTCCGTATCTCCTGTACCGTGTACATGTCCCTCTACCGTCTCTTCACAGACTGCTGCTCGAATTTGGTCTCTATACAGTGGTCAATGCAGCTACACTCTACATATTCATCTACAAGACATTTCACTGGCCTGATAGCACCGCAGTGCAGAGATTCATGTGGTGACATTTGAACAATATAATCAGTTCACTTTTTTACTGAAGAAAGGGAAACTTACTGCTCACCTGGCACCTTCCTACCATAGATTCATGTTAGCAAAAGAACATGCAAAGACCAAAATAGACACTGTATAATGGGCTGTTAGCCCGTTCATGTCCAACAACTAAATTGGATAAGACAAAATGTCACAATTTTTTCTGATTGTCAAAGTAGTGAAATTTTTAAACACTGCCTCAAAGGGGTTCCTAGAACCTTTACATTATGTGGGGGTTCTTTAAAGTTCAACAAGGTTCTTTACACTCACACATCTCATTAACAACAGTTACTTTTTAAAGCACTATTCGTGTAAAGGTTCTGAAGGGAATCAAAAGTGGTTTCTCTATGGCATTACACAAAGAATTGTTTCCAGCTTTCCTGTTGCTGGTGAGAATTACCGTGGTTACAGTCCCCAGTGACTGTACTAACCACCAGTTTAAAAAAAGAAAAAAAAAGTTGTTCACTTAAGGATTAATTAAACAAATCACTAGTATTCCCACATGTGAGCATAACTGAAGTTTTAAAGATGTGATGTCCTATATCATCACATTCACTGTACCTGGAATAGATGAGATTGTTCCAGAAATGCGGCTGTTGACCTGCACTGGTTGAATGTGCTCAGTGGGGGGGTAGGGGTGGTTCTGCGTGCCATTTCAGCAGGTACATATCATGTATGTACAAAAAGCTGTCTACGTTACATTGTACATTAGGCCGTCCTCAGACCACAGTGTAAGTTTACAGACATCAAACAAAACGGCTTGGGGTTTTGGGAAAAACACTGTTGTATCACCTGTCTGATGTCAACCCGAACACCCTTTTTTTTCCTGTTGTTTTCGTTATTTCAGTAGTCCCATGTGTCAAAGACCAATTTTAATTGATACATTAACTGATTAAAGCTAATCAATTAAACAGATTAATTAATTAAGTATTTAATTGATTTTTTTTGTCACATGGTTTGCCTGCTGATTTTAAAAGACTTCTTCAGGTTTGTAATCAGAGAATATATAGACTAAAGGAAATGTGAAATTTCATATATGGACATGAATGGGTTAATGTCTGTCAGTTTGGCACTTACATACTTAAATTAATGTTAAAATAAGATTTTTTTTTATAAGATATGGTGTTTAAAGTTATGCTGTACCCAGTGTTTATATCTAATTACCTTTTAAGTGCCCCAATCAGATTTTAGCAGTTTGTTGAATCTCCAAATGTGGACTAAGCACAAGCATTGATGTTTACAATCCCTCTGATGTTCCTGTGTGACAAGTCGACAGTATGTGTTTAATTCTTCAGACTATACTGGTTCTGTGTTGTCATTTAAAAGACCAAAAAATTGTCTTGTCATGTCCATGCCATTTTTTTTTATAAGAAATGAATCATATTAGTCAGACTTCTTTACCTGTATGTTTTCTTTCCCTTGTGTGAATTGCTTTTGTCTACGAAAGATACTTGTTCTATGTTGTCAGTGTTCAGTTGTAAATCCGCTGTATTGATGCAATAAAAATAATTCATTGTTATGTTTTGATGCTCCTTCCATTCAGAACCGGGGGATATTTTGCAAAGCAGTATTTTTCAGATTAGCTTGATTACTTAAATCCAGAGTGTGTCCAATAAGGAAAATAGCTGAGGGATATCGTTAGAGTCCTTTTGAGTCTTTTGAGTTTAGAGTCTTTTGGCCTAAGCAACTAAGATATCCTGCTTTAGGTACCCCTTTGTGCTGGATTATAATGTAACTGGTAACACATGCTACAGACAAAATGTGTGGAATTCACTGTTTAGCTTGAAAAAGCACATAATGCACTTTCAGTTACTGCACATCACGTCCACTAGGTGGCAGTCTGAAACTGTTTATGCTGTATAACTCTACTTTTCTCATGCACTGTGGAGTGTTAGAGGGCTTTGTACAGGAAATCACTACCATCCATTACTTCTTGTTCTGCCTGACAGTTTTAATTAGACTTGAGAATGTTTGTTTCACACAGTTATCATATAATTGCCAACGATTGGCTGAGAAATCTCCAACCAATTATGAGCGTTGGTAACTTTGTGGTCTCTGAGCAGAGGTTGTTATGCAATGGATGTAGTTCTCGTGCTTCTCCCACACTAAGTTAACAACGCCAAGATACATACAGTACATTGCTAATTACTCTGTTTATGCATGTATATCTATATTACCACTTAAAGCCTTCAAACTTGGCATGAGGCTTTAACATACTGTGAAAGCATCTTGAGTAGGAACGCTCAGTACTGGCTGTATAATAATGCTCAGGATTTGGTCAAATACTGATATATTTCTAAATTCAATAATGTATTCCATTATAATACATACAAAAAGTAATTTATTCAGGATATATTTAGAATAAGTCCTAAGTAGGCACATGTGAAACAGCCATGTTCTAGTATGCACTGTTCATTAGTGGTGGCACACTAATTGGCACTTTCCTTTATATGTTTCTGAAAGGTTATTTTGGTAATTAATCTGCATAGAATGGCTAGAGATCAGTATGAATGGACTACGAATGTGAAAGGACAGACTAGTTAAAGCCAAGTTTCTTTGTACTGTACCATCTTCACTTGAAGCTAATCTAGCTTAATCAATAACAGAGCAAAAATTTACACATATGACAGTGCATGTGAGACTTTTGAGATATGTAAGCGTATGTACGCACCAATTTTTGATGAGAAGCTGAAATTTTAGGGGAATACTGGGGCAATAAAAAAAGGCCAGCAATGCATTTACTACGTAGGATTTTAGTTGAAACTGAAATTAGCATTACTGAGTCGAGGAAAAAACACACTTAGGCATGGTGTGCTTGCACTGCTGTGAGTCTATGGAGTTAATTCTGTGCCCAAAAATTCAAATAAAATAATAAAATCCACAAGCAAAATATTAAGTATTAAAGTGTCCAAAATATGATGCAAATACAAATAATGAGAGTTAAATTAGACTTTTCAAAAAGATTACTTCTCATTTTCAGTCATTCTGATATAAATGTACTACTCATTTTGCTTTATTTTTTTTCTGTTTGCTGATTTTGCTGATATACTTTTTGCATTTTGAGTTTTTTTGTTATTTGTATTTGCATAATATTTTGGACATTTTGATGCTTAATATTTTGCTTTGGGATTTTATTATTTTATTTGAAACTTTTAGCCCAAAATTAACTCCATATTGACTCACCCTGTAAAGCCTGAAATAATAATTCAAAAGTCAGAAGGGTGAGATTGTGTTTCGCAGGATTTTTTTGGACCATGTCATACATCTTTACATAATAACTACAAGCACAGGCTCAAAAAGAACATCTGGCTCGATGTTCAGGTCTCAAATGCAAAATGCATTATATTGATGAAGATTTGATGGCAATAATAGATTATTCACTCCCCTCCTTCTTCACCAAGTTTTGACTGAGCTTTCTTTGAATACTCTGAAAAGGGCCGGTGTGGCTACAGGTTTTCACTCCAAACAAGCTGAAGCACACCTGACCCTTTTGTTTTAATCAGTTAGTCTCAGTCTTCAAACATTTTATCAGGTGACCTCCTGCTTTGTTGGAGTGAAAACCTGCAGCCACACCGGCCCTTTGCGGATAACGTTGGACACCCCTGCCCTTGGGGAAGGGGTCCGAAGCACAACCCACTTTACCAAATGATCTTCCACACATTGTGTACAATTACACCTTTCCACCAGAGAGATGAGCGCATCTTTTTCTATGAGTTCATCTGTTTTGCGTATTTTCTGTAGCTCCCTTGTAGAGGGTGTTGTTTCACTTCCTAAGTTTAAACAATAAGAATCGTCTGTAGAGCCTTATATCTGTTTGCTCTAAAATAATTGGTCCTCCATTGAAATCACTGGCTGTACTACACAAACAACATACACTTAAAAAGCCATCCTGTCATTAATGACCCTTCACACATCCTCCACTGTGCCTTTGAGTTGTTGCCTCTTATCACTATCGTTATCGCTGCCCTAGATGTCAGTCTGTTTGAGAAAGAGTGACATTTGTGCCTGAGGCCATCAGGTTAACCAGTGACCATTCAGGGTGAGCCATGTGCTTACAGTCTATTTTATGTTTATTTTTTTACTGCTTATTTATAAAGATATTTGTTTATAGCTGTCCATAGATGTCTCTCGGTTATATGTTTGTGTCATATGTTCATATACCCAGTTATGAATTGCTCGTCTGGGACTAATAAAGTTTATTTAATTCAATTCAATTCAGTTTAATGTTTAAAGGGATATGCAAGCCAAAATGCAAGTTTTGCTACATATTTTGCTAACATGCCTACTCACATCCTACACTGATGGCACAGTAGTCTCTAGAGTGAGATTTTCTGGATTTAAAACTTCTGATGATGAATTTTAAAGGTGGGAGGCAATCCTTAAATAAGCGCTTTGGGGTAGATTTATTTGTTTCTTTATTTGTTGGGTGGTGTATGCAGAAGGAAGCCAGAAAGCTAATGTTACTGTTAGGAAGCCAAATATCTTGTTGCAGCTGTGTGACTGTAGTAACTGCCTTCAAATCATTGTTACAACGGGCGAGATTTGATTAGTCCAGCAACAGAAATGGCTCATTAGATGAGGAGAACAACAAAGTAAAAGCTAAAGTTGGCAACATATCTGGCTATCTAGATACCACAGTTTGCCTCTTTTCCTCATGCTGATAGGGTAAAAACTTGTCTCTTGTGTCCAATTTTGAGCTGAATAAATGTAGAATTGTTCCAAGGCAACCAAGGTAAGAGTTACGCTAATGCTAGCTTGGTTGTACTTGTTAGCCTACAGCTCAGTGGTTAGACTAACAGTCAGGATTGGTTGCCACGACAGAGATTCTCAATGGTTGTACTGCGTATTTGCGTAAGGTATTGCAGCAAGAGAAAATTGATGAGTGCTAAAGCTGAGGAATACAGTGCAACTTACTCCATAACACAACAAATGACATATTAAGCTCTTGTTTTTAGGCCAGAACACACCTTAAAATACAACATAGGTGGGAATGTATTCTAAAAGATTCTCATAGAAATGTATAGGGCTGTTTTTTGGACATGCATTAAACCTACCCTGCTAGAAAAATCAGCATATTGCTGTTGTTGGAAGAAAACCTCGTATCTCCAGAATGAGATCTTTACAGGAAAAGGAAAAACATAGTTTACTTTTAATGTAAGTCAATGGAACCAGACTTTGGTCAAAGTCATTTTGGGCCATTTCTTTTTGAAATATAAACACACTGTAAAGGGCAACAGGCATTTTCAAATTACGTCAAAAACTGAAAAACGTCAAAAATGAGATTTGAGGTTTTCTTCCGACAGCAGCGATATGTTGTGTTTTGGATGCTGGTATGCTGGTCAACCAGCATTACTGTGCGAGCAAAACCAGCACCAGACCAGCATAAACCAGCATAAAGCAACTCAATTTCATGCTGCTCTGTGCTG